GCGCGTTGATGGTGAAGGTCCAGAGTCCAAATCCTTCTCATCCACATGGCGGATAACAGCCTTACTACTGCCGCCAACACACGGCATTGCTCCTTTAGCTCAAGCAGTAGGGTGCTGAGCTGCAGCCACTTGCGTTCCAGTCCCACCGAGGCGGTAACTACATTTCCACAGAGGCCAACACATACTACTACTAGTGGCCAAGGAGGAGGAGCTCTCCATAGCTCAACAAGGGCAAACTCAGGGCTCACGGGCCCCTCACGGAGCCTGGTCTTTGCTCATCTGCCACTAAATGGTTTCCCTGAAATGGGACAAGCTCAGCCCAGCCTGTTTGCCCTCCCGCAAGCAACCCCCACTTGGTTCCCCCCTTGCAGTTACAGCCCATAGTAGCTTGTTTGCCAGTGGGCCCAACCATGGAGAAGAAAAGACCCAGAGTGGGTGGAGGATGCCGGAGGGACCCTCCAGCTGAAATCGGTCTATGTTTCACTTGTGAGCCAGCAGCAGCAAAGGAAGGCCCTTGACGCCATGGCAACCCTGACACTGAGAGGGATCCTTGCAGAAGTTGGGCCACCGACTCCAAAGCTGAAGTAGGCCAAAGTCTGGGAGGCGCTTGGCCAACCGCTCGTGGCCAGGGCCAGATTAATCTTTTCTAGACCCCAGCACCTGGTCTGTGGCCCCACCCCTCGTTCTGCCCCAAAGCCCCACCCCTGCTCAGCCTCTTGCCCTCGAGGCCCCGCCCGTCGCTCGCATGGGGCACAGAGGATGGAGAGGAGCGAGCAGGGAGCGAGGAGTGGGGGAGAGGGTGGAGAGGAGCAAACAGCGAGCAAGGGTTTGGGGGGAAGAGGCCGAGCGGGGGTGGGGCCTCGGGGTGTAGCGGGGGGGCGCAGATGCCAGGGCTCCTTCTGAGGGTGGGCCTGGCACCATTGACACCATTGTAAACCCAGTCCTGCTCGTGGCCCAGCAGCAGCAAAGGAAGGCCACTGCCACCATGGCGACCCCAACTGGAGGTCAGCCAAACCCCTGCGCAAGTTTGGCCAATGACTCTGAAGCTCAAGTAGGCCAAAGCCTTGTGGAAGTTGGGGACCGACTCCAAGCCCTGCTGCATGATGGTGTCTACGGAAGGCCTACGGCCCTCTCGGGAGGTGCAGGGAAGGACAGAAGATGCCGTCCTCGGTGTGGCACTGCGGCCCATATTTCTAGCAGTGATGCTATGATATGATTACGACATAATTATAATGTATTTTATGCAAGATGAGTCATGCGAGGTGTCACTGGAAAAGTTATGATTTGCTGAATATGATAATCCTATTTGTATGCATGTATCATTTTGTATCTGAAATTATGAATATTGAATATATATCTGTATTTCAAATTTAGTTACACCTGGGTAATGCCCACCAGACAAGATGTTTTCAGTCTAGATAGTGGGTGGGGAAGAGCCTATTCGGGGCAATGAGGAAAAAACAATAGGCCTTAGGAGAAGCTTAGCTCCCACCTGGGAGCCTTCCTGAGAATGCTCCAAATAGCCTCCAAGTCATGGCTGCTGTGACTCTACAAAGACATGGGATGTGATCGCATGTCTCTAGACTCCATTTTGGGATGTCAGTGTTTTTCCACTGACCGGGCATGGGAATCAAGCTTTGGGAACAAAGGGTTATCACCATATACAAAAGCTATATAAGGCGGGGAGTGACATCATCTGGGGTTCTTCACTCCCCACACAAAGAGACTCCTGAAAACATCTGAGGAACAAAGACTGAACTGGGGGAAGTGCTGGACTCAGCCTAAAGGGATTTTTAGCCTGTGAATGAAACACCTGGGGATTCCAAGCTGTAAGCAAGTCCATCTTGCCCCTTAAGAATCTGCAGCCTGCTTGTATCATCTCTTAGGGTGAGAGTCTGCTACTCATATTAAGCTTCGTTTGTGTTTCTTTGTTTATTTTCTAGGAAATCTGCTTTGATCTGTTTGCTATCCCTTCTAATCATGTAGAATCTATCTTTTGTAGTTAATAAACTTGTTTTTGCTTTATCTAAACCAGTGTGTGGGAATCATAACTCAGGGGCAAAAGGCTGTTGCATATTCCTCTCCACACTGAGGGAGGGGGCAAATTTGATGAGCTTACGCTGTACAGTTCCTTGTGCAGCACAAGACGGTATAATTTTGGGTTTATACTTCAGTGGGGGTGCGTGCCTGAGGAGCTGGGAGTAGCTTTCCCCTGCAGGGGCTGGTCATAGAGCGGCTTGTAACTGCAGCTGGGTGTGTTCCTACTAGTATGTATGCTGGTGAAATTACAGGCTGGAGGGCTTGGTAGCTTGTCACAGCAAAACAGTGCAACAAGGTGCCCAGGTTGGTGGGTGAGAGGGCTCAGTGGTACCCCAGTTCCAGGCGGGGGGAACCCGTCACACCTAACTCAAGTGCAGGATCTCTTGCTTCTGCGGAGCATGGGACAAGGAAGGATCTGCGGAGGAAGCAGAGAGTCGGTCTCATCCAGGAAGTCAAGTCATCAACTCCTCAGCCTCCATCCCATTGGTCACTTCCACCTCTCTGTGCCCTTCCCCGCAGCGAGTCAAGCAGGGGAGATGGCACCAGGCCATGATGGTGATGAGTTTGTGCCACAGGCTGGTCAGGCAGTTGGTGAAGGCCCTTTGGACGGCAGTGGAGGAGAAATAGAAAATGGCGGGGTCCAAGGCGGCATTGAGGATGCTGAGGAGAAGAGTGTACACTCTCCAGGAGGGGCTCTCGTTCTGGACAAAGCCCACCACGTGGGACAGGTTGTAGGGGGCGAAGCAGACTATGAAGTTGAACAAGGTGGCCAGAGCCAGACCCACGGCCCGCTGCTTCCTCTGGGCTGGGATCTTGGGCAGGGCCACCAGGATGCGGACGAAGTTGATGTAGCAAAAGATGGTGACGGTGAAGGGGAGGCAGAAGAGGATGAAGAAAAACTCTAGCCGGACAGGGAGCACGATCTGGAGCTGCATAGGGGAGAAATGTTCATAGCAGTGGGACGTGCTATTGGAGGTTGCCGTCCCATTGGGGCTCAGGACCTCGTATTGGACAATGTAGACGATGCTGCAGTGGGCAAAGACCACCACCCAGAAGACCACAGAGGAGGCAACAGCATAAGCCGGACGGCGCCGGAGCTTGTACTTGATGGGAAAGGCCACCCCCAGGTAGCGATCAACGCTGATGGCCATGAGGAAGAAGGAGCTGAGGTAGATGCTATTGAAGTAGAAGTAGTTGGTGAGTGGGCAGAGGAAAGCAGGCAAGAGCCACTCCATGCCTGAGGCAGCCTCCACCATCTTGAAGGGGAGCAAGATGAGGAGGAAGATGTCGGAGACGGTGAGGTTGAGGAGAAGGATGTCGACGGGGGTGGGTTTCTGGCGGACCTTCATCAGGAAGGTGTAGAAGGCCAGAAGGTTGGATGGGAGGCCGGTCAGGAAGGTGAAGACGTAGACAGCGAGAACCAGCGGGATGGAAACGTTCAAAGTCATCCTCTCGGCTCCTACAGAGGAGAATGGGCTCATCAGTTGCCAAAGGAATCCAGGAGTCCTGGTAGCCAGCCCCCCTCCTCCTCCAACCCACTAGACTCCAAAACTGTCCCTGGGCTGGGGATAGAACCCAGGAGTCCTGGCTCCAGCCCCCTCCCCCTCCAACCCACTAGACTCCACTCCCTAGATCCCAGAAGTCCTGGCTCCAGCCCCCTTGCTCCAACCCACTAGATCCCACTCCTCTCTGTGGCACTCTGTACCCCAAAGCAACACCCTGGAATCCCATATTCACCAATGTCATATGATTGTTATGTGTCATACAAAGCATGCCATGTAAGATATCATATTAAAGCTCATGATCTGCTGAAACCTGTTGTTCTTTCCAAATATGTGTATCGTTAGTGTGCATGAAGTTATAAGATTTTGCTGTATGGTTGTCAGTGAAATAAGTTGCAAGTTTGAGAGTCCTTCCTACAAGGGTTGTGACCCCTGCCCACGTGGGCGTTCACCGGCCATTCATCAACAGGGGAGTTGCAATCAAAGGATTTACAATTGAATGACAGTTGCACAAGCACCTCACAATGGGGGATTTACTTGATCACTGTGACTCAGCAACGCCCATCAGGACCAGATCTTGGTATTAAGGGACAGAGGCTGCATGGCTTGGCCTTTTCTCCTCCCCCACCTACGCTGCAAGCCACAAGGACGCTGAGAACAGAGAGAACTTCAGCAGAGGAGACAAGGGAGAAACCTGTGTATTGTGAACTGTAACATCCATTGAGTGGAGAAAACTGCTAGATCTAAATACTGCCTAGTGTCTTAGAGGTTTAAGATTTAGATTGCACGCTTATTTTGTTCTCTTTGGTAAACTATCACTGCTTTTTATACCTACCACTTATAATCACTTAAGCTCTCTCTATCTGCAGTTAATAAATCTGTGTTATACTTTATCTAAAACAATGAATTTTGCTTGAAATGCTTGGAAATCTTAGCTCAGTTAACAAAAGGCGTGTGCATGTCCTCTCCAGGGGCGAGGGGGACGGGCTGGGCAAAGAACTGACACTGCTCAGGCTTCTGACCATGGCAGGACGGTACAGGTCTGGGGACCTAGGCTGGGGAGCTGGGGGGAATTGGCTGGAGCCTCTCTGTTGTTGGTTCATGAGTACCTGAGGGCAGCATTCATGTAACTAAGAGGGGTGTGTCCCTGCCTGGGGATGGCTGTGTAAATCCAGTACCTGCCAGAGGTTTGTAGCTTGTCACAGCATCACAGTGTGCGTGGGAGCCGTGACTGGTGGACCCTAACAGGTCTTAGTGGTACCTGAGTTCCGGGTTGCACCCCAGGGATCCCGTTGTGACACTGCAGCCCATATTCTTCACAGTAATATTATTATGATATGATTATGGCATAATTATGATGCATTTTATTCCAGATGGGTCATGAGAGATTGTTACCGAAATATCAGGTCCACCTAGCTGAGAGCCAATAACAGCCAGACAGGGATAAGGAAGAGTTGCTTTATTCTGCAGAAGAAAGGAGAGCCTTGCACCTTGGTACAAAAACTCTAACTCATACAAAAAACCAAAGATTTTTTATACACACTTAAACACAGGCCCTGGTGGTGTTAACGTTTGATTGGTGGTTAACAAACCCTGCACTTCTGCTATCTGGTCAGTGAGAACCGGTTTGGGACCAGCTCCCACTGCCTTAAGGCAGAGAAGGGAAGACAGTTTAAAAGTTTAGGCTACTGTGTACGTGAGGTGTCTGTTTTTCCCTAATAGCCGCTGGCTGCCATAAAGGCTGCTAGCTGTTAGGGGAGGTGTCGCTGCTGACTGTCACAAGATGTCATTGGAAAAGTTATAATTTGCTGAATATGATTGTCCTATTTGTATGCATGTATCATTTTTGTATCTGAAGTTATGAATATTAATCATGTATCTGTTCCATGAAGGAGGAGTGCTAGGCAGAGATGGGCTCCACCTACCGAAGAGAGGGAAGAGCATCTTCGCAAGCAGGCTGGCTAACCTAGTGAGGAAGGCTTTAAACTAGGTTCACTGGGGGAAGGAGACCAAAGCCCTGAGGTAAGTGGGGAAATGCGATACCGGGAGGAAGCACGAGCAGGAGAGCGCAAGAGGGGAGGACTCCTGTCTCATACTGAGAAAGCAGGACGATCAGCGAGTTATCTTAAGTGCCTATACACAAATGCAAGTAGCCTGGGAAACAAGCATGGAGAACTGGAAGTCCTGGCACAGTCAAGGAACTATGATGTCATTGGAATAACAGAGACTTGGTGGGATAACTCGCATGACTGGAGTACTGTCATGGATGGATATAAACTGTTCAGGAAGGACAGGCATGGCGGAAAAGGTGGGGGAGTTGCATTGTATGTAAGAGAGCAGTATGACTGCTCAGAGCTCCGGTATGAAACTGCAGAAAAACCCGAGAGTCTCTGGATTAAGTTTAGAAGTGTGAGAACAAGGGTGATGTCTTGGTGGGAGTCTGCTATAGACCATCAGACCAGGGGGATGAGGTGGATGAGGCTTTCTTCCAGCAACTAGCAGAAGTTACTAGATCGCAGGCCCTAGTTCTCATGGGAGACTTTAATCACCCTGATATCTGCTGGGAGAGCAATACAGCGGTGCACAGACAATCCAGGAAGTTTTTGGAAAGTGTAGGGGACAATTTCCTAGTGCAAGTGCTGGAGGAACCAACTAGGGGCAGAGCTCTTCTTGACCTGCTGCTCACAAACCGGGAAGAATTAGTAGGGGAAGCAAAAGTGGATGGGAACCTGGGAGGCAGTGACCATGAGATGGTGGAGTTGAGGATCCTGACACAAGGAAGAAAGGAGAGCAGCAGAATACGGACCCTGGACTTCAGAAAAGCAGACTTTGACTCCCTCAGGGAACTGATGGGCAGGATCCCCTGGGAGAATAACATGAAGGGCAAAGGGGTCCAGGAGAGCTGGCTGTATTTTAAAGAATCCTTATTGAGGTTGCAGGAACAAACCATCCCGATGTGTAGAAAGAATAGTAAATATGGCAGGCGACCAGCTTGGCTTAACAGTGAAATCCTTGCTGATCTTAAACACACACAAAAAGCTTACAAGAAGTGGAAGGTTGGGCAAATGACCAGGGAGGAGTATAAAAATATCGCTCAGGCATGCAGGAGTGAAATCAGGAAGGCCAAATCACACTTGGAGTTGCAGCTAGCAAGAGATGTTAAGAGTAACAAGAAGGGTTTCTTCAGGTATGTTAGCAACAAGAAGAAAGTCAAGGAAAGTGTGGGCCCCTTACTGAATGAGGGAGGCAACCTAGTGACAGAAGATGTGGAAAAAGCTAATGTACTCAATGCTTTTTTTGCCTCTGTCTTCACGAACAAGGTCAGGTCCGACTGCTGGACTGGGCAGCACAGCATGGGGAGAAAGTGACCAGCCCTCTGTGGAGAAAGAAGTGGTTCGGGACTATTTAGAAAAGCTGGACAAGCACAAGTCCATGGAGCCGGAAGCGCTGCATCCGAGGGTGCTGAGGGAGTTGGCGGATGTGATTGCAGAGCCATTAGCCATTATCTTTGAAAACTCATGGCGATCGGGAGAGGTCCCGGATGACTGGAAAAAGGCTAATGTAGTGCCCATCTTTCAAAAAAGGAAGGAGGAGGATCTGGGGAACTACAGGCCAGTCAGCCTCACCTCAGTCCCTGGAAAAATCATGGAGCAGGTCCTCAAGGAATCAATTCTGAAGCACTTAGAGGAGAGGAAAGTGATCAGGAACAGTCAGCATGGATTCACGAAGGGCAAGTCATGCCTGACTAACCTAATTGCCTTCTATGACGAGATAACTGGCTCTGTGGATGAGGGGAGAGCAGTGGATGTGTTATTCCTTGACTTTAGCAAAGCCTTTGATACGGTCTCCCACAGTATTCTTGCCAGCAAGTTAAAGTAGTATGGGCTGGATGAATGGACTATAAGGTGACTATAGAAAGCTGGCTAGATTGTCGGGCTCAACGGGTAGTGATCAACGGTTCCATGTCTAGTTGGCAGCCGGTATCAAGCGGGGTGCCCCAAGAGTCGGTCCTGGGGCTGGTTTTGTTCAATATCTTCATTAATGATCTGGAGGATGGCGTGGACTGCACTCTCAGCAGGTTTGCAGATGTCACTAAACTGGGAGGAATGGTAGATACGCTGGAGGGTAGGGATAGGATACAGAGGGACCCAGACAAATTAGAGGATTGGGCCAAAAGAAACCTGATGAGGTTCAACAAGGACAAGTGCAGGGTCCTGCACTTAGGACGGAAGAATCCCATGCACTGCTACAGACTAGGGACCGAATGGCTAGGTAGCAGTTCTGCAGAAAAGGACCTAGGGGTCACAGTGCACGAGAAGCTGGATATGAGTCAGCAGTGTGCCCTTGTTGCCAAGAAGGCTAACGGCATTTTGGGCTGTATAAGTAGGGGCACTGCCAGCAGATCGAGGGACGTGATCATTCCCCTCTATTCGACATTGGTGAGGCCTCATCTGGAGTACTGTGTCCAGTTTTGGGCCCCGCACTACAACAAGGATGTAGAAAAATTGGAGAGAGTCCAGCGAAGGGCAACAAAAATGATTAGGGGGCTGGAGCACATGATTTATGAGGAGAGGCTGAGGGATCTGGGATTGTTTAGTCTGCAGAAGAGAAGAATGAGGGGGGATTTGATAGCTGCTTTCAACTACCTGAAAGGGGGTTCCAAAGAGGATGGATCTAGACTGTTCTCAGTGGTACCTGATGACAGAACAAGGAGTGACAGATGACAGATGACATCCAAGTTGCAGTGGGGGAGGTTTAGGTTGGATATTAGGAAAAACTTTTTCACTAGGAGGGTGGTGAAACACTGGAATGGGTTACCTAGGGAGGTGGTGGAATCTCCTTCCTTAGAGGTTTTTAAGGTGAGGCTTGACAAAGCCCTGGCTGGGATGATTTAGTTGGGAATTGGTCCTGCTGGACTAATGGTTGGACTAGATGACCTCCTGAGA